CACACACACACACACACACACACACACACACACACACACACACACACACACACTTCACAAAACTCCCAAGGTATACAGTATGTGAAATCAATTATGGGAATTGTTTTAAAAAATTGGTCAGAACAGGACTGAAGCTGTATTTTACCATTAAAAATTGTTTCCTTGTGTCCTGCTCAAGCAACCTAACTGACCACAGAAGCATTTTTCACGAGTCTGCGCATGAAACTGACCATCAAACTAGTTTATTTCATGAGACATTTTTACACTAAAAAAATGAAACGTTGAATTTACTTAACCAAGTTACGTCAACTGGTTTCACTCAACCGAGTAAATTCAATTTCAATCAAAGCAATTTACTCTTCTTTGAGTGGAACCAGTTGACGTAACTTGGTTAAGTAAATTCAACATTTCATTTTTTAGTGTAACTTGTTGCAAACTTGYGCGTTAAAAACTATGCTGAGCAGCTGAAAGGATCACCTAAAGTTTTACCAAAGACGTTTATTTTCATGTGAGCAGCAAATAAGGACAATCTGCTGCTTAAACGAATATAATACAAGACAAACATACAAAACCTGCAGTGAATAGGACATGTCATGTATTTGTTCCTGTTGAACATGAAAAATACAAAGATTAATTATGAGAATAGTTCCTACCACCTTCCTATGAATGAGTAATGAGTAACTCCATGTTTCCTTTTGTTTTTGTTGATGTGTCCGTTGTYCTAATGAACAGCGAAGCAGGTGTAATTGCTTGGAGCCCAGCAGTGGGGGTGTAATTAAAGTGACAGGGAGGACTATATGACTTCATGACTGGCACCGTTTAATGATAATGGGAAGCAACTCCACAATACTGTGGTCAGCTAATCACACTGGACTGGCCAGAACAGCTCTCAGTGTTTCTGAGCCGTGACTGGAATACTGAGCAGCAGCTTCACGCCATTCTCTCTGCGGGGGGTTCAGGCTCATGATTATGGCCGTGACCYGGCGACACCTGCATCGCTGTCATTAGTGCCACCACGGATGGACGGCTTTATTGTAAATAAACAAAAGGCACCCAGAAAACAAATGCAGTAAATACTACTGTCAACACAGGCACTGGTTGTCCTTTGAGAGGGAGAAGTAAGTGCTCCACATTTAATGAATTCAACATCATCTTTTTATAATCTGATCAAACAGTCAGCTTGCATTAGAGCAACAATATCCAGTATTTTTATTTCACAGTTCTTTTATATGGTAACAACTTTATGTCTTTTTTTACTAAGCTCCAACAAACAGCTCTTAAAATCCTAAACTGTCCAGCAGAATTACATAATAATATAATAAGCACGTGTGAAAAATAGTGTTTCCACTTTTTGATGCCTGAAGTGTAATATCCACCAAGTCCTGGGTTTTTCATTCTTATCTGTAACGGTTTGAATAACAATAAACTGAGTCTGAGTAAACACAAAAATGTCATAACAGCTTTCCTCAGCTTTGGACACTGGACATTGAGAAAGGATTTTTTTTATTTTTACTTTATTTAATCATAAAAATAACGAGTTTGGATCGTCACCACACGCAACACATTTTTTTTGTTGTTATTGCTAAACAAAAAACCCAAGATTTTCACATTATTTTTGGTTTCATTGCTTTATTTGGTTAACTCTTTTCCCCAGACCAGTGGGAATTTCCTTTTAATTTCAAYTGATGTTCTGGTAAAACACCCAGTAACGGATGGGCAAAAGAACAGCACAATAAGGTCAAATTTTGTCAAAGTAGGCCTAATTTAGTGTGGAATTTAAGTAAAAYCTACTTTACCAAATTAAAGTTTAGAGTATTAAATCAACACAAAACAAATAAATCTGCTTTTTAATCCTCACCCTTTTTTATGCAAGGTGCTATAAACACAACTTTAAAAAGAATAAATGACTTTTCCTTTAACACACAAATGTGGTATTTGGAAACAATCTAAGACAGGGGTGCCCAAACATTTTCCCTTAGATGGCCAAAATTTAAATCAGTCTGAGGGCCGCGGGCCAAATGCGGTAATATAATACATGAAATGCAAATACTGTACTTCTAAAGTTGTTTTATTTTTATGAATAAGCTAGCAGCCAGTGTGGTTGCCCACATTCTTTTTTTTTTTCAGCCCATGGACATGGAGAAAATTCAACATGTGCTCGGGCAGCAAAGGCTCATGGGATTTTCATAAATTAAAATTTGAGGATATGTGTTATAAGTGTGGTATGAATATAAGGTATGCAAATCTAGATGTGTGCTTAAATCTAAATGTCTCTTATAGTTACCTGTATTTTATGTTCAATCTTAACATAATTCAAAGATAAAGTGAGTACCATGAGTTAAGACTCAGATTTCAGCTCCTTGTACCTATAATTGGACCAATAGTTGAAAAGTGGAAATATAGTGTTTCTACACAGGACAGAAGATTGCAATCTAATAACCAGGACAACTGCTGGTGGGCCGAATCAAATGGCTTGGCGGGCCAAAATGGGGCCCGCAGGCCCCATTTTGGCCACCTCTGATCTAAGAGAACGTAGTAAATAGAGCAATGTTATCTGATTTAGGGGTTATATATAT